GATCCCCACTTCATCCCCGGAACTGGAATTTCATCAGCTTCCTTTCTTTTTACCATCTAAGGAAGCGGAACTACCGATTGGTCTACGTATCTTCACATTTCATTACCATATAAGGGCATACGGTACCACACAAGAAACACGGGTCTATTCTTGTCCAAAACGAAGTTATATAAGGGAGAATTTCCACCAGGAGCGTCATTCGAGTCGTGTACACCAGAAAAAAGTCTCAAGTCGTACCGTACGCTGTTCCCGTCATTATTTTATAAAAAAATTTATTTAGTGGACTTAGAAAACTTTTGGATTTTATTTTATATTTGTTCGGACTCAGAAAAGTTTCACTTTGTATCTTATACTCGTCCGGACTTAGAATAGTTTTATTCGATTCTTATGTAGACATCTTATAAGAGTTCGTGAAGTCTTGTTATCATATAGTAAATAAAATAGAATAAAAATATTAATTTTTTATTCCAATGGTCCATCCGGATCATTAAATATATATTTTACTCAGATAGCTGCTCAACTAGTTTCTAAAAATGTTAATATAACATGTAAAGATCCACTTAACGTTCTAAAAAAAATTGTGATAGTGTGTCTAGTCGTCTTAATGATAATTTTGTATTTAATGCAGTGTCAAGTACCAAAGTGAGAAATGTTATTCGAAATCTTACAAATAGTAACTCTTGTGATATTTATGGTATACACTCAAGACTATTCAAATATATAATAAATGTAATTATCTCTCCTGTCACTAAATTAATTAATTTATGTATCAGTAAGTGTACATTTCCTGATTGTCTAAAACAAGCTGTTGTGATCCCGCTATATAAAAAGGGCAACATGAATGACCCGTCTAATTTCAGGCCCATTGCACTTCTACCGATATTTTCTAGAGTATTAGAAAAAATACTTTTCGATCAACTGAACCAATACTTTGAGAATAATAATCTCTTCTCCAACTCACAATTTGGCTTCAGGAAAAATCGTGGTACTGTGGATGCAGTACTTGAATTCACCGATTTTATGCACACATGTTTTGAAGAAGACAAGATGGGAGTGGCATCATTTCTGGACCTCTCCAAGGGATTCGACTGTGTCAATCATGAAATACTGCTAAAAAAATTGCAGTTTTACAAACTACATTATAATAGTTGCAGTTTATTGGAAAATTACTTAAAAAATAGAACGCAATTGGTCAAATTTAAAAGACTTCCAGTAAATTTAGGAGTCCCCCAAGGATCAATACTAGGTCCGATTCTGTTTTTAATCTACGTGAATGATTGTCTTCTGCCTTAACAACGCATTCAATTTTATACGCAGATGATACCACCATGGTAAATAAAGCACCATCGGCACAAACTGCTTACACAGTCAATGCAACCGCACAGTCCACTGCCTTGAAATGGTTTACTGCCAACAATTTAACTCTAAACATCAATAAAACTGTCAACATGTTATTCTCACACAAAAATGATACTGCTCCTCCAATCTTTGACCAAACAGTCAAATTTTTGGGCATGCATCTAGACTCCAAATTAAGATGGAATATCCATGGCGAAAATGTAGCAAAAAAAATTAGCAAAATATATTTCTTTTAAGTAGCCTTAAGAATCAGTTATTAATACATGATCTCCGTACTTGTTATTTTTATTATTTTTATTGTTTAATTATGTAAAGTGCGTTTCAGTTCATTTTACAAAATGGCATGCCAAATCGAAAATTAACGTTTCTGACAGGGTAACACCAAAAAACATTTAAAAACATATACTCCTATTATATAAATAGTCAGTAGTTACTAGTGTTCTCTTCTTGTTTTACTAGTTCTTGATTAAGAAGACTTATACTTTAATAAAATGGTGATCTCTTGTTCAGCATATGGTTATATAAGTCGACAAAAGAAATGTGTCGACATATCCTTTCATAGGTACTTCAATATTTTTTTAACAAATATACATCCTTAAAAACGTTTTTTCCACATTTTAGGTAGGATGTATTTGGTAAAATTTTCAGATGCCGTCATCAATTTTTTGGGAGGGGATAAACTAATAAATTTGGATTAACAATTAATGAATTACCATGCTTACGATAATATTAAAACATTTGCAAGATTTCAGAGCATTCGGTTTCATAGTTTCAAAGTTCCGTTGCAAAATGTTGCTATACATATATGTATACATATAAAAATCTGCACGTTTCGGGTAAAAACTTAATACGGATTTATAAATTATCAACAATAGTTTCGGAAATTATCTGTCTAATAAAAATCTGGACAGACAACAGACAGACAGACGAACAGCAGACCTAGTTATTCGTAGTCTAGGGGTCATGAAATGTCAAAAAAACAAAAGTAAGGAGTCGTCCGGTGGACTCGATTACGACACTTCCTTAGCTTACGCTCGGGAAGTAAAAAAATATAAGATTTGTACCACTACTCGACCTGGTTACACTTCGGCTTCGAGCGCAGTGTCCATGTCTCGACAGTAATATCACTTTTACTCACTTGATACACAAATAATTCGTATTGTTTTCTTAATGAAGATAATGAAGATTTTTTTGTTGTTCTGATTTTTCATTTCAAAGAGTTGGTCACCTTATTTATAACGTAAATAAATTGTAATGTTCAATTATAAAAAATAAATATATTTATTTTACTCTGTTTACTTAACTGTTTTACTTAGAAAAAAATATTTAGAACTCAAATTTCCAATAACTTTCATAAGAAATCATTTAAAGCTTGGCGTAACCCACGAGGAAAAAAAGTCATTTAGCGGAAATTCACTCGACTAAAAAATGCATGAATTTCATGTGAATCGTAAAATTTTACTGGTACATATACAAAAATCATTTGCTTTTAATGTTTTATTATCTTAGCAGAACTCTGTTATGTGATTTCGACTATTGTAAAATTTAATGATAAAAATTTCATTTATTGTCACAATAGGGGTAAACCTCCAATATAATAACATTTTAACATTTTCGATAAATACAGAATTTTGGTTTGTGTTTTACAAATGTATAGTTATTTTATAGTACATATAACTTATTTAAATTTTAGCTTAGTTGGAACGGTAGTTTCAGAGAATCAATTCACCATTTTCATATTCTATGAGTTATGAAACGTTTAAAGACTAAAAATAATAATAATAATAATAATAACAGGGTTACTTATTTACAAAATCACTAAAAAGTCATGTTCAGTGTCTCAGACTTTATTTCTCAGGCAACTTTGTTAGCTCAAATATCGGTGTGCGATAAAAGATATGTTAATGACCAATTAAGTAATAAATGAAAATACAATCACAAATATTATGGCGGTTATCGCCCAGATTATGTCACTTTTCCTTTTTGTATATCAAACAGAATAATACGAACTTTTTATAACAAATAAAACTATTTTCACTTGTAAGTAATATGGTTAATGCCGCGAACCGTTAATTTCAGGTTTTACTAGCCAAAATTTGTCTGCTCATCTGTATCAAAATTTTGCCAAGCAAATTCTGTGTAAAATTGTACGATAAAATTTAACAGTTTAACTTTGAAATTACATATTCATTACGCTGAAATTTTTCAATATTTTTGGATCGTGATGAATATGGAAAATTGCCAATCAGAATTGCCATCCCTTACTAAAATATAACATCGTCACTTCCAAATTTTGCGATCTTAACTTTATTTAAAATGTGCAAAACATTATCTGCCTATACGTGTGATTTATTAATCCATTATTAAAAATCAACATTTTATACAAAATTTTACAATTTCATTTAGAAATCATAAAATCGACCAAGCTGAAATTTTGCAAGCTTTTTAAGCTTGTCGCGAACATAGTAAATCGCTAATCAAAATGCAACTGTTCATATCTTTCAAAATTTATTGCGTCAATGCTGCTTGAAATTTATAGGCCGATATGATCTTTTATATGTAATTTAATAATGTATAAATATTTTTAATCAGTTACATACTGTACTAAAAACTAATTTTAGTGTCTTTAAATCTACGAAAAGAACTATTTTACAAATTCGACAACTTATTAACATTGAGTTCATGATTATACTACAGCGATTAAAATTTATTTATTGATCCTCAGTAGAAAATTAGTTATGCCATCGCATCATAAAGATTTATTAAATAAATGTTTGTTGAAAAATGTGCTTCGAGATGCAACATTATTTGTATCAGTAATAATGATAACTTTTTGTTTTTTAGAACTGTTTGCACGGTATGTTTAAAAGGTAATAAACGGCTCGATTAACTTTATTGATGAAACACATTAGTATTTTTTATTTTAATATGTATATAAGCGTTGTTACAGAAAAAATAATATTTGTAGAATAACCTATGAAACTGAACTTGTTTGGTTGTGTTACAAGGGTGGGAAAAGTTTTTTAAATAATTTTGGACCAATTTTTACATATTTAAATACATATTTTCTTCTTAAAAAAAAATGTATACCACGTGATACAGCTGCTACAAATTAAAAGAAAAAACCATGCAAGTTCTAATTTTTTTGAAGTACAGCTTTACATACAAAAAACGAGTAGTAGTTAGAAAAAGACGTTTAATTGAGACAGTGTTAGGTTGGCCTCTACTTTGACATATTTCACGATCTTTACATATTGATATCTGAATTAATAAAGAAAATATTGCCTGGAATATTAATTCAGTATAAATAACGAAATACTTAAATTTTATAGAGAGAAATAAAAAAAAATCTTACAAATATTGAACAGAAAAAAACTGAAAATTTATATTTGTAATAAAAAAAAAACTGGTTTTACGCTAATAATTATTTTGTAAAGCGTTGACAACACTAAAAAAAAGTAAATTACACTTAACTAATAACAAGTACATAATTTCCCTCAATTATAAAATTATGAGTTATATAACAGAAAAGCAATATAAATTAACCGAGTAACGTGACCTATTTTTTCCCGTTTTGCGAAACAGCAATAATTATCTAATTTTTAATTAAAACAAGTAACATTAAAATAGAAAAAACTTACATCTTCTAGAATAAATGACCATTCTTTGTCTTCCAACTCAGTGGTTCTGGGATCTTTAAATAACGTTATAGCAACTTGATGATTTTCTGGGACCGGCCAAACAACTAAACCTTTATATGGGTTTTGTAACGTTGGCTCCCATGCCATAGGCGCGGAAGCCACCCTTCGAGATCTACGTGACCATACCAACGATAATTTGTGTGGTTCCCTGAAATATAAAATTAAATGAAAACAAAAGTGCAGTTATTTTACCAAATCATAAAATTTATATGCAGTGCTTGTCATCCACTAGATAATAAAACAGGAAATATGCGTGACTACACTAAAAAATTTTAAGTAGTGAAAGGAAGCATCATATACAGGCATAGCCTTTTAAATATAAATATAAACAACTAAAGAGCATTAGCCCTATAAGCAACTGCTCTGGAAAGCATTAATTATGTAAGCATGGAAACCTTTACGTATTATTGATTTTTTTCCCTCGATAATACTACTATTGAACTGAATGTGATATAAAAATTACGAATCTTGTTGTTATCTATTAGACGTAAATTACTCAAGCTGATAAGCTGAATAAAAATAAATATTGCAATCGAAAAAGCAAATAAGCATCAACTTACCATTTCGAGGTAAATTCGACTGCAAGCTGATGATATGATACAGTAAACTGAAACTTGGCTGCACGTTTATTCACCCTTTGAAGCCGTTTCCAGACAGATCCCATAGTGGAATCCACACTAACACAAGACATCATTGTGAATAAAATTAAAACACACAAACTGAACTTAAAACTTTGTCAGGGGAAAAAACAATGCACAGACATTATCAGAAAAGTGATAAGCACTAAGTGATAGTACGAGGAGCAAAATGAAACTGGGGATTTATCAAAAACTGTAGATAAAGAGTGCATGACATTCCTCAAACAAAGTTATAAACAGTGTAGGTAAATGTTTATACCTAGTGATAAATTAGATAGCAATAGAGCAATTTGCGTTAACGAAATTAATGATTTGCATCATTTCAGAGAACTTTGACATTAATAGTATTAACCTTGTATGAATCACTTGACACTTGGGTCACTATTTGGACATTGACAAATTTCCAACTCAATTTGCGCACCAATTTTTATCGAAGCTGTAAGCCATACCTTCAAATTTATTTGCACTAATAGTTCATTGTGATTTATTGTGTTCGGACCCCAAAACTAATAAAATTATCTCCTTATTGTCTTAACATACATGTAGAGCAGAATGATGTAAATTATCAATTATTTTCTTGTCATTTCACTATTGACAGTTTGTTTATCCACCGATAAAAAAGATTCCTGCATGAAGACGACACCCTTTTACTAAGAACGCCCACAGATGGCACCATGGGTGTTTAAGTTTTCATTCAGAACCGTACCCTGCAATTTATACCATAACAGCTTGACGTTGACTGCCGTGTGAGACCGATATGGCTTCACGATCGTACTAGCAGTACATGCCGTGTGAGTCCAATGTAGACTCACACCGCTGAACGACATATTTTGCTGTGTGAAGCAACACTGGTCTCTGCAACTGCATTAACTTATACATATGGCACTGTAAAGTGCTCGGCACGGTGAACCACATGCATTATTTCTATTTGGCTTGTGTGTACGTGAGACCAAGGTGGATTCATGCGGCTAGATACATCTTGGCATGTGCGTCAAAAAAAATGCATAATGTAGTGGTTGATGTAAGTTCTACATCTTGAAATGGAAAATAATACATGTCTACATTCGTGTAAATGCAAGTGGACACAGAAAACAGCGCATCTGTGTACGTTGGGACGGGAAAATCCGTGGTGACACATTGGTTTCACAAGGCAAAATTGGCTTTGACGGTTGCTAAGGTGCCGCGTGAGTCCAATGTGTCACCACATCAAAAAAATTATATTTTAGTAAAAACAAGCAAAGGTAAATTTCGCAATATAATGAAAATACGTTTATTCATTGATTTTTTATATTTGAAGTAAAAAAATTGAAGTGGCGTGTGGGACCTGATTTAATTTTGTATAAGGTGGCAGTCAAGGTGTTGGGTCCCCAGTCGTCGCCCGCAAAATCGGTTTCAGTCAGAAGAATTATTTTTTGTAACTATGCAACCCAAAGTACACATCCACCGCAGGTACCGACCCAAAAACACGAGAGATTATGGTCACTGCAGGGAGTCCGTCATAAAATGCAAATCGGTAAACAACACCAAATAAGGCTCCCCCACACAGTCATTAAAAGATGCCAAAATAAGGCAAAACGCCAACCCATTTTGCGCCTTCATTTTAACAGTTGAAGAGAAGGGCGATACATGTGCGTGCTCATGACATAAAAATCTTTAAGGAAGAGTCTTCTATTTTTTAAAAAACGTAGCAGTTTTTAAAATAAAAAATAAAGTGCGTAAAACCCGAGCGGATTTTTAGCAAAAACTATAACTCGGTATGCTTTTAAAAAATATCGAGGTGATAGAGAACTTTTTTCTACTATAGGCGCCATTTTTCGTTTTCTGTTAAAATTTTACTTCTTTTAGTTATTGTAAAAAAACTGCAAAGCATTTTGGGCAAATTTTGGTAAGTTAGGCAACCCAAAATATTAGCTGAGGCGGTAAACTGTAATTTATGGCCCACACAAGAGAGCACCTTTTAAATACCTTAAGCTTATTTCACCACCCTTTGAAGTACCTGACAGTAGCATTAAGAAGGATAAAGGCGAGTAAAATTTTTACAGACATATGATGCCATTTCTACGTTGTTGTTTTGATTTGGTTCCCCCTTTTAATTAAATGAATGATATTAATTAAATGGAATTTTATTATTGGAATACATTTATTCAAGCTATATTAGGGATGTAGGATATATCTATGACAATATGTGCAGTTAAGCAAATAAAATTGCAGCTATAAAGTACTACAATTCCTGAGAGGAGTACTTATACTGCACAAATGGAAACGGGTACATACAAACTGGCTGACGCGGTCGCTTTTTTAATCCGGCGCCGAATATTGAGTATAGGTACGTTGGCTCCGACAGTACGAAAGGGAGAGATAGATTTTATGATACCAAAGAATTTTCAAGCAGAAATTTACAGATAGCAAAAAGGTGTAATCGCTTGCGTTTTGTGAGTTTGGTAAACAGAGTGCTGACATCCTTGCCTCTATACACTGCATTTAAATATTAAACAATCACAGAAAAATATCATCATCAATAAAATCATATTAATAAAATAAAAATAATAACAAAAAAGCAAAGATCCCTTCAAAGCATAAAATTCAACATTTTACACTTATTGCCAAAAAAAACTTAACATTTGTCTATAAATCTTTTTTCAATATATGTATATATTTCGGAGTTGCTAATTTCGACTTCACCACGAGTCAACAATTTCTGGTAGCATGGCATTTAAATAAAAATTTTCTAATGCATTTACCATATGTTTATTCCAGAAGTCATCATCTCTTTAAATCAAAAAATATTCTAAATCTACGTTAGTGTAGATGATAAAATAACACCATTTTCTTTTAGTTATATGCAGTGGACCCTGTTATACCTGATACATATAGTTGTGGTTCGTCGGGTTCAAACTAATTGTATTATCTGCATTTATTGAACAATATAATTAATGATTTTATTTTTAATAGCTCTTTAATATTTTTACTGCAAGCCGCATATGAACATTTAATCTCTGCAATTGAATTAGAATTTATTAACCCATCTGGAGAAGCTCCTAAAATTTTTTTTCAAATTTGTTAGAGCTTCAAATTTTTCTTTGGCCTTTTCTTCATTGTCGATGCCAAACTGTATAGACTTGGGCAATTTTTTCATAAAGTTTTATCGGAATACACAATACTTTTAACGGTATTTGCGGTTTAATTCCGTCTCTCATTTTGTCCTTTCTTTACTCCATTCCCTACACATTCGCTGACCACAAGTACCTTTTTCAATAGCGTTTACGTTACTCTGTGCCACCTTTATTAATAAATCGGATTTTTTTTTTCACACACTTCAGGTAATATATCTGCAGTTTTCGTTTGTTCATCGTCGACGATATTATTTTTGCCGGAATCCGCACTTCGGATATGCAATTTTTTAATAGAAATTTTAGTTTTATTAATCGTTTTTATTTTTTTCAATTTTTTTCCGCAAACGCCTTCGTATACTAACATTGGCCTCCCCAAATTTTTTTTTTTTGAATAACGGAACTAATTCCGTTATTCAAAAAAAAATATAATAATAAGGGTACGTTCCTAAGAACGTACCCTTATTATTATAACTTATTGCCGCAGCAAAACATCGCCCTTGATACAATCCTCGTGCAGAAAAACTTAAAAACTCATTCTTTTTCTTCCCACAAATTTATTAACAACAGAATTGTAGCATTCCGCAGCATTGTTCTCAATATCAAAAAGTAAACTAGACGACAAAGTTGCAACTCTATTTAAAACTTGTTTGTAAGGTTCGTATAAAACACCATTTGCGAAAGTAGAAAATAAAATATCATTTGACTGTCCACTTTTATAACAAAAATAGCTTGCACATTGTTCGTGCTTGCCAAATATATGCTCAAAAAAAAGGAAGAGGCTCATTTTTGCTAAGTTTAATAGCACTTATAATAGCTGTTCTAAATTTTAGAATACTATTTTTACAAACATTTTTAATAGTGATATCTGCTTTCGTTGTTTTAACTATTTCTCTAATTTTGGAACAATAATTACGAAGTATGTGATTTCTACATTCAATTTTTTCTATAAAATAATATGCACCATTTGGTTTTGCAGCCCAAACTTTTTTTAATACGCTACTATCCTCGTCGCCTATAATTCTCCTATAAAGTATCTAAAGTAAATCCCTCTAAGATAATTGAAGTTTCCATGGACATAGATGTTAGCTCCCAGTTTTTAAAACAGTTATGTGTTGGAATTTCTTTTTTCTGTTTCATATAGATTTCACAGAAACTACAAAGTTTGTTTTTGACTCCAAGATAAAGTATTTTTTTAGTTCTGGCACCAATTATGCGTCCTACCCCAGACAGTGCATTGTAATTGGATTTGTTCCAAGCTCCATCGAAAATAACGGTAATATATGGGACGCAATCATTATCTACCTCCCTCGCCTTCACAGCTAATCGGTACTCTTCATTACCTGCGTTTTGGTTTGTTCTTCGAAAAGTGCTTCGATGCTCTTTAGAACTCTAACCTCGGCTTTACGATATGTCGCCTGGGGTATTTGAGGGATATCTAGAGCTGAACAAAATTCTGAAATTTGAGAATAACCCAGCCTCGTAGCTACGGGGGGGGGGGGAGATGGGGCTGAGCCCCCCTTTGCAGTTGTGGTTGCCCCCCCTGGAACACCTACACATTATAAATTTCAAATTAGTAATAAAATTTCAATATAATGCCGATTGCTGAAGCATATTTAGTAGCCCCACCCGCCCACCCTTTATTTTCTTACAGGGTATGCTATTTGGCAATAGGTATATACGAATTTTTAGATGCAGTACAGCTGTTTGTAAATCTACATTCTCTGAATAGATCGCAATGACGCATCAAAGATTGACAAACTTGGTTTTTCTGGCTTTTGAAAAGTACCGTACCAATTCTTTGGACTTGGACAGGTTTTTACGAAAATTTAATGAAGCCCCCTCTGTCGACAAACTTGCCCCCCCTGAATAAGTTTTCTAGCTACGGGGCTGGAATAATCTACGCCCGTTGATCTAACTCCACAAATAGCTGCATAATTGACTTTGTATATATGATTTTCAGGTTCTGTACAAAAATTACCGAATATTCCGTACATATTACATTTGTAGTACATAGAAAACACTTTTTAAACCATAACAATTTTCATGAGTTATTTCAATATTATCTAAAGTACAGCCCAACATATTATGACTGATTGATTTCAATGTTGTTAATAAGTGGTCTATGTCAACAATTCTACGTCCAGTACTAATTTCTCGACGTGTCATGACCTCTAGAGTACGAAAAAAGTGGTCCCCCGTTTTCCGTATGTCCGTCTGTCTGTCTGTCTATCTGTCTGTCTGGAGTCTGTATCCATTTTTTATTAGACAAGTGTTCTCCGAAACTACTGGATTTGCTATATTTTATATGTATATTAGAAATATCATGTAGATGGTTAAACGCTAACTAAAACTTAGCAAATCATCTCCACCATCAATGGGATGACAATACAAAGTTTTTTAAATTTTATAAAATTAGACACTCCTGCACTTGTGGTCTGTAAATCCGTGTAGAATTTTCACCCTAGACATCTAGAATTTTTG